AAGCTGACTGACATCAACTTGCTATAATTTCTGTTTACATTGCATCGCAATTTGATGACACTCTGGCTCAGACACCAGAATGTTTTGACGATTTTTAGCATTCGTTTAGGATTTTCAAACAACCTGGTCTCTTTTAAAATACTTTAAATTTGTTCTTACGTGGTTTTCCAGATGTAGTGACGACAACATTAAAGTTTAAAGAAGAAAATTCTAACATTTAAACCGACTAAACAATAACATAGTAAACTTGCATAATTAAACAGCAACTAAAAATGATAGGTTTTACTGAATCTTTTCCTGTGCAATTATTATACTAGCATTAGAGACAAGGATAATAGTTTGTTTGAAAGAGAAAAGAACAGGCTTTGAAGTAAGCCTAAAAGCGTTTAACTAGAAATAGTATTTCGAAAGTTATTAAGCATAAAAGATGAATTGCGTTTATTTTGATACACCCTGTAGAGCACGGAAAGGAAGTTGATTCAGGCAGTACAGTGAATAATGGCAATTAGCAATTCTGCAACCTTACTTATTATTTTTTAGACACTGTCCAAAAAATAAGTTTTCGACAGCTTTTTTAACAAAACTGTATAGAAAAACAGGTTTTTAATGGAACATTTACATTAAAAAAATCAAATTGTGAAAAAAAATCATTGTGGAGGAAGATTGAGTTTCAAAACGCAATGGACGACTTGCGCTTTAGACTAAATTTTAATCTAAGTAAAAACAACGCAACCTATCGCCACAGCTGGAAAGAGCGTCTTGGAATTAGTAATATTACAAAGTTTGGTTGCGAAATGTTGTAAAATACGGAAAATATAGCTCTTCAAAGTTGGCAAATTTGTACACTTTTGTATTACGTGCGTGAATTGGTAACTAAATTAGTTACAATAAAATAACAATAATAAATAAAATAGTAAAATAGTAAAAATGTATACAAATTTGCCAACTTCGCAGGGCTATATTTTCCGTACTTTACAACATTTCGCAACCAAACTTTGCAGTTCTTCTAATTTTGATAACTTCTTTCAGAAAATATCGTTTGTTATTCCCAGATTAAAATTTTTCTAAAGCGTAAGTCGTCCATTGAAGATTGATTATTTACTACCGTATACCGGTAAGAGAAAAGTGCTTGAAAATATCCCTGATGGCATATCTATATTTCAAGCTTGTCCGGTGTGGATAATGGATGTACACTCAGAGTTATGAAATAGTATAAATTTCACTCATGTAAGATGGAAGGCATAAACACATTTTAAGGTGATATTCTCGTTAACTTGGTAAATGCACATTTGTGTTTTTAGAACGGCACAAATGGATTTAGAACAATACATTTCATGTACGTTAAAAATCCCCCCACGTCATATCAATCTCAAGTAGAAACAGGGATGTATTTACTGAAGGGGGGCGTGCGGGGGCGTGCACCCGCCCTAGCCATGGCCAGAGCGGGTGCAAAGGGGTTGCTATTTTTCATGATAAAGCAAAAACTCATTAGAGACAAAATGAGATACAGTAATTTGAGTAATAACATAATGATAAGCGAACTGTAAACAACAATTACAATTCAAATACAGTAGTATAGCAAGACTTTGCAGTAGTGAAGCAAGTTGGTAGGCGGGCGGCACACATGACTGACACAACTCGGCACCAGAGCTGGCAGAGAAGCCCCCCCCTACCAGATCATGCTGGATCCATCCCTGAGTAGAAATCGGGCCATTTGTTCATCTTCCCAAGGCATACGCACCTTTGGTTTCGGAACAACTTGCGGATATTTGTATTTATTGGGATTCAACCTTTCCAATCCTTCATCAGTGACATTTCCCGTCGAGATGATGTCATACAGTGGAAAATATGGATACGTGTTAAAATCGCCACTTATGACCCACGGGACTGAACTGTCTTCTTGCAACGATGCGACGAATTTGTGGAGTTGTTGTAAAAATAACGAAATCTGTAAGGCTTGCATGTCCGGCTGTCTCCAGCCTCCGAACATGGAATGTAGATTTGCTGAAAAAAATCAGACAAATCACAATTATAAAATATGCATTACATGGTGGAATTATTAGGCATTTGAAAACTGATAGGAGTTATTCTATTCTTCAATTTACAGAATGTCCAGAAAGGCCAGAAATCGCGGACATGATTTATCCTACTTCCTGCGTAATTTGCATTTCATGTCGAAATGTATGCCTTCGACTGTAAACAGTGAATTATATAATAAAGCGACGTTGTTGATCGCAAAATTTGAGAATAATGTAGGTCGTTTGCAACTTGCCTCAATCGCTGGCTACAAAACAAAGTCTGTCGAGGTATTTAGTGTAATGTTGGCCTGATTTCAGATACTGTCTATTCTGCATTTTCAATTTTTGTACAGAGGTTAGTTTTTACGATATAGACTGGAATAGAGTAGAATAGATTTAGAATGGAATGGGAATAGAATAGAATAAAATAGGAATAGAATGGAATGGGAATAGAATAAAATGGAAACAGAATGGGAATAGAATAAAATGGGAATAGAATACAATGGGAATAGAATGGAATGGGAATAGAATAGAATGAAACAGAATAAAATGGCAAATATAATGGAATGTGGATAAAATGGAATGGGAATAGAACAGAATAAAATAAAATAAAACAGGAATAGAATGGAATGGGAATAGAAAAGAATAAAATGGGAATAGAATGAAATGGGAATAGAATAGAACAAGATGGAATAGAATGGAAATAGAATAGAATGGGAACATAATGGAATAGAATGGGAATAGAATAAAATGGAAAAGAATGGGAATAGAATAAAATAGAATGGAATAGAATGGAAATAGAATATAATGGAAAAGAATGGGAATATAATAAAATAGAATAGAATGGGAATATAATTACAATGGAAAAGAATGGGAATATAATAAATAGAATGGAATAGAATAGAATAGAATGGGAATAGAATACAATGGAAAAGAATGGGAATAGAATAAAATATAATGCAATAGAATAGAATGGGAATAGAATACAATGGAAAAGAATGGGAATAGAATAAAATATAATGCAATAGAATGGAATATAATAGAATGGGAATAGAATACAATGGAAAAGAATGGGAATATAATAAATATAATGCAATAGAATGGAATATAATACAATGGGAATAGAATACAATGGAAAAGAATGGGAATATAATAAAATATAATGTAATAGAATGGAATATAATACAATGGAAATAGAATACAATGGAAAAGAATGGGAATATAATAAATAGAATGGAATAGAATAGAATGGGAATAGAATACAATGGTAAATAATGGGAATAAAATGCAATAGAATAGAATGGAATAGAATGGGAATAGAATACAATGGAAAAGAATGGGAATAGAATAAAATATAATGCAATAGAATGGAATATAATAGAATGGGAATAGAATACAATGGAAAAGAATGGGAATAGAATAAAATAGAATACAATGGAAAAGAATGGGAATATAATAAAATAGAATGGGAATAGAATAGAATGGAAAAGAATGTGAATAGAATAGAATTGTCTTGAAGAAAATAGGGCAGTAGAATAGAACATATTGTGCAGTTTAGCAGCTGGGAGTACATATAAGCATTCCCTGAAATAATACAATAATACTGTACCATACCTACTACAAGCGATTTCCCAGTTTTTACTTCAATGAGATGAGAAAATATGACGACTCGTTGATTAAACTTATTGTTTTTGTCAAACTGGCTTAGATCAAATAACCTTGAGAGTAATTCGTTAAAGTTATAAGTAACGATCTTCTCCAATCGAAACTTTTTTGTGTTATAAAAAGTTGCCAAACCATTTTTTCCCTTGAAATGCGGTTCATGGCTACCCTCGAAACCTGATTGGCCCAGTTCTTCTTCGAGTACAGAAAAATATGGCGTGTCAACTTCTTGCATATTAATGATATCGGGTTTGAGCCAAGTGATCTGTACAAGTGGAAAACTTTATGATTATTAACCCATCACGTTGCATTGCACCCTGATCGTGCCCTGGTTTGTTATTTTACTCCGTCTAACGCAAGATAAATTTACTCGTCAAGGGGAGAGTGCTGCCACTCAATGGGTCTTTTAATTAAGGTACGTTTATATGCTGTGATTTGTTGGGCCGATTTTGCTCGCTGTATGTAAATAACCTGTCGTGAGTACTCGCGTCAGCGCTTTGCAATTAAAAAAACCCACAGATTTTTCTCACGATTCAACAATTTTCTTCCGTTGTAAAGTTGTTGAAAACTTTTCGCACGCAGAAAATTATAACATAAACAGACGAGAGAGCGGACAGCTTCAATTGAATGTTTAAATCGCTAAATGTTGAAGAAGGGGCAACAATTATTTACCAAAATCGGCCTGACAAATCGCAGCGTGTAAACATAGTTTTATCTAAATTTGCAGTAAGCCACATGTACTGCCTTTCATTTACACATGTAAAAATCTCACAACTTGTCAAGAAGATGTGTAGGCTTGTAGCAAGCTTGTCAACAAGTCATGACAACGGTGTTATATTTTATCAAGTTGCTACAAGGTTGTCACTCACAACTTGTTGACAAATATTTGTTGAATCGCAGGATGATTAACAAGTTGTTGGAACAACTTGTAACAAGTCTGTTGAGCTCAACAACCTTGTATCAAGTTGTCAACAAGCCGTTAACAACTTGTCAACAAGCTGGGAACAAGCAGTACGAACACATCCTGTTGACAAGTTGTTGGAACAGCATTGCTACAAAGTCTGCTGCAGGTTTGTTTATTAATACAACTTGTGCGTTATTAATCAAATTGTGGTCTATTAATCGTATGAAAGCACCTTTATACCTCTTTCATCAGCTGTCTGTGCCTCGGCGATGTTTTTGGATCGGGTTCCTTCAATTTCTCCACCATCGGAAGTGGTAAATATCCATTAGGATTCGCCCTAACAGGCATATCGGCCAAAATGTTGTAGGACACCAGACAAAATTCGTCCTCGGAACTTCGGACGCGCTTTAAAGTTCGTCTAAAAACCGGTTCACTTTTTACCATATCCGAATGTCGCACTTTGTGCAGTAAAAGTAGAAGAACAAAAACAAAAACCAGCAAAAGTACAAGTCTTCCTTTGTTGTTTATGTTTGAAAATATAACAAACAATTTTGACTTCGCGGCGGCCATCTTGGAAATGTCCGCGCAAGAGGATTGAGAACGACCTGTTGTAATTAGTTAGTTTCATATTAATTACATTTAATTTGTTACTTTTAATATATAATTGTTACTTTTGCTAACTTCTTACTGTATTAGCCCGCGTGGCAGGCTCAAGGTAAATATTCTATAGGCCCGCCACGCAGGCTAACTTCTTATTAACAGAACGCGAGGTCTGTACAGAGAAATATCGGAGCGAGGTCTTTTTTGTACAGACCGAACCCGTAGGGCGAGTTTGAACAAAAAAAACGAGGTCCGATATTAACGGCTTATTGACCGAGCGTAAGGTCTGTACTGTGAAATATCAGACCGAGGTTTTTTAGTATGGACCGAGCGACGAAGGAGCGAGGTCCATGCACAAAGCAGAGGTCTGATATTTCACAGTACAGACTGAACAAGCGAGGTCAATAATCGGTTTATTATATGGCTGAACTGAGTCCGGCTGTGAGCATATGGTTTTCGCGCGAATTAAATCAGCTATCGTCAGTTTCACTGGGTAACAATATACGGTAGGCATGCATGCT